TAATAGGTTGACAGAGACATGCAGCCTTGGCTTACCATGTACTTCTTTGATATTGGACATCCATGTTATGATCAATTGACACTTGTAAAAACAAGGTATCCGCTGACCAGTATCACGTGACCATATCGCGGGATCAAGTTTACAGCTCATTACAGCTCGCGTGTTTTTTTGAAGTTAAACGCTGACCAAGTGCTGGTTTTCGATTGGATCGCGGGCTCATCTCGGGTTAACTTGTTGAAAACAGGGCAGGATTGTTCGGAAGCCGGTTAACGCTAACCCAGGATTAAAAGTTAACCGCGATATATATTTTTCCTCTATACAAATGGTTTTCGCTGCTTTGTTTTGTGTATATAGTGATTATTAAAACTCAAAACAGAAGGCCAAACAATATACAGAAAACCTCAACGTAAAGTTACAAAACTCCAATTAAAATTCTACCTTTTTTGGGGTCAGCTTAATTTGACTCTGAACAACCCGGCCCAGGAGCTTCGCTTTCAGGCTGGCCTAAATCTATATATTAGATTATTCGCCTTCGATTTCCATGAGATGACAGCTGATAAGGCTGGAGACCGAAAGGCGAATTATCTGTCATCTGTCACCTGTCAGCTGTCATTTCTCCTAGTAGAGTTCTGAGTAAATTTCCTTCAAACAATGATTTTAGTCATTTCTTAACCTATGAGTGGTATTTGAAACGCGCGCTCATCTGTTCATCCAGCAATTTTGAGGTTTGCAAGTCGCTTCACGCTTAATGACATTCTATTCTTTTTGGGGGACTTAAGTATTCCAATATAATTTCTAAATATTCCTTCGAAGCTTTGTAGAAACGAGAAAACGACGCCATTTCGTAGACAACCCTTAGCCAATGTAACCTGGAGGCTGATGCTGTAGTGACGCAAGTATATGTATAACGTTCTTAACCGAAAAAAAAAACGAACAGTATTGCTAGAGTAGGATCAATCCTTTCACTTTAAATTTAACAAAAATTGTATTAGGTTGCGTGGCGAAGTCAAAATATGTTTAATGAGAGACATTGTTTGTTGAAATACTACTCTTTAGAATTTTTTTAGCTGTTGTCTTTCCTTCCGTTATTCTTAACCAGTTCCTCTCGGGCGAGTTCTCGTGATGATTCGCTCTTAGTTTCAACCATGTACATGAAATGAAAATACCAGTGCATAACTTTTTGAGGGAATATACGTTGCGCTCACTACCCAACCGCATAAGCTGTAAGGTAACTATAGAAACTCTTTAGCTTCGGAAATAGTTAAATATATTAAATCAAGGATGAATGTAAAATGAATCACAACAAAACATACTGTTTTGTATGAAATCCTTCTACATTTGGCTTACACGTTTTGTCAAATGAATGAAGTCTATCATGTTTCAAATTAACAAATAAAAATCATAGCCCTTCGCTATATAATGTAGTCTGGTTACGTTTAAAACGTACAACGATTCAGGGGATAGAAAATTCCGCTGTAATTTTATTTATGTATGCTGTTTGTCCCAAGGAAATTTCCATCATCAAAATAACTCAAACGAAATTAAAATTGTTCCGAATTTGGGAAAATTGCAATTATTTTTTTTAACAAATAGCAGGTGTTACAATAAGCGAGAAACCAACCCGAACGTTTACTTTTGTGGCAAACTCATTAAGTGACATCCTAAAACTTAATTTCATTTTGACCCATTTATTGTAGATTATCATGTGAAAATTACCCAGTTGGTCGTTCGTGAACTCTTGTATTTAAGCAATCGGTGTCTAAAATTTAGTTATTAATCCATTTATTTATTCAAGCTGCAGAAGCTAACCACCTTGTTCAAACGAAATGTACCGTATTTGTAATAGAGCGGCGTAACTTAAGGCGATTCTTGCCAAAAATGCAAATATTCGTTAAGCCCAATAAATGATTTCAATAAAACTACCCAAAATTAAAGAACTTAGATAGATTTTTTTTTAAATGAATGTAGGAGAGTTAAAAACGATTTCATTTCAAAATTTGTCATGAAAGTATTCAAGTAAATGAAAACTGACTTTGCCATTAATGCTTAATTCAGCAAATTTTACAAGAAGGTCGTATTTTCTTTGACTTTTCAGTTCGTACACGCAAAAAAAATGTACGTAAACTGCTTCTATTGAGTGATAATCATTTCTTGATATCCGCTTCTTGATTTATAAGAATGAAGCGCTGCAATTACACCACGTTAAACACAATGCTTAATCCGGCTTTCAATAAACGTAAGTAATTATCGTTAATTTGACACCTAAAGAAAATTAAAACAAGGACTTTTTTTCCGGCAGAAATAAACGAGACCTGTCGTAGCTTGGACTCATGTTTCAGCGGAAAGAAGAAAAAGATATTGCAAATTCGTGGTCACTGTGAATTTCATCAGCCAATACTAATCTTTAAAAGCACAATACCAATATTAATCATAAACGTTTCAGCCAAATTCTAGAATGATTAAGTTTTAACCGAAATGGTAACATCAAATCCATTTTCATTACAACTCAGAAGACTTAATTCATAAACGTTTAGTTCGTCAAGGGAAGAAAATATGTTCCCGGGTGTTATTCTGCCTGTATACGTCATATGTTGCGGATACCGCATATTTGCCCGGCTTATTTGATTATTTAGCCGGGTGAAAACCTGCTGAGGAAATAAGACTTGGTTTGCTAGCTCAAACATGGTTGTTGTATATCCATATGATTTAGTTTTTGTTGCGCGAGTTTGAAAAGACTTGAGATCATACGGTAGTCTGTAATCTGTAGCATTCATTTATCAGAGGTATCAATAATATGGGACCTTTCGAAAGTCGCCTATAAATTAAAAACAATTAAGAACTTTTAAGAAGCTTTAGAAAATTCTCCATCTGAAACTTGAATATTCACGAAATGTTTGTTGCTTGATTAGAATGATTTAGACCTATAAGTTAGTAAGAGTACGTTACGACTTCTTGAGAAAGTATATTGAAAGGCAAGTTTACCTCAGTGAGGCAGTTTGCGTAACATCGAGCCTTCGTGACAATTGAATCGCTTGGACCTCCTTTCACATTATTGAAGAGGGTGAAAATCCATAGAATCAGCAAAAATGGGCTGCAGGTTCGCCTGTAGGGCTGCCAAGCCATCGCCAACGACCCAATGTCCGGTGCAGTCTACACTGGACACAATCCAA